CGAGCCCCTCCGCGGCTTTGCTCCGCGTCTTCCTGGTCTGCAGACCAGGGAGACGCGGAGAAAGCCCCGAGTACATGGGTAGCAGGACCGCGAGGTCCCGCAGTCCGTGTCCTCCGGGGAGAGCCCCGTTCGTAACTGCAGATCCGACGTAAGTCGGGGACTGCCTGTACTTGAATTAGGTTTCTGTGTACAGATTAATATGTAGTACAGAAGAACAGCACATGGTGACCAGGAGCGACCCTAGATGAGCTGCCAGCAACTGGCTCCCTAGGCAAAACGCGCGATCGGCGCCCCTGCCTCCAGAGCCCTCAACGGCAGTTTATCTTGGCGCCTTAGGCAACCGCCTAGGTCGCCTGTATTGACGGGCCGCCCCTGATGGTGACAAAAACTCCATATTGGATGTCATTAATGATATCCAGTTTTCAGTTGTGTAGATTCTGCTGGGCTAAACAGAGAAGTTAGTTGGCTTAAAGCTCATGTAGGATCAATAAAATAATTCTGTATTGATATTAGCTAACAGCAGTTAATTCTTTCTTTTATATGTATTAGATCTGTGTTTTAGCACTACACTGAAAGAAGAGCTTCTGTCCCCTTCAAAGGAGAGCATAGAATTAGTGTTGTTGTAACTGGTAGCTGTGATTTTTAAAAATCTTCTCTTGTTTTAAAATTATTTTTGTTCGGCTACTTTGTTTTTCTATGATGAACGGTCTGTTTAATACATCCATTATACCTTTTGCTGCACTAATAACTAACAAACATATTTCTGATCTTTCTTTGTGCAGCTGATTGATTTCTTTGTTCACTGGAGCTTATATAATGAGGTTTGCAGACAACAATAGAACATTATTATATGTTTTGTGTTGTTTTTACCCACATTTTGGATTTAACTTATTTTATCTTCTCATTTCTGTAGTCCAAAATCTTATTGGGAACCTTTAAATGGGAGTTTAAACCTTGTTTCATAACTTCCATTAATGATACCGATTAAAGCACATTTATATAAATACACACTGCATACCTGTGTGTGCAGAATAGTCAATTGGGGTGTGTCTAGACATTTCTTCTGGTATCCTGAAATAGCATTTTCTGTATCTTGACAGCACTCCCATTATTTCAAAATAGCTTTCAAAATAATGAATGCGCTATTCCAATGTTCCTGTAAACCTCATTCCATGAGGATTAAGGGATGTTTCGGAGCAGTGGTTTATTTCAAAATTTAGCGCTGGGTAGATACTGCCAATTTTCAAAATAAGATATTTTGA